TGGGGGTGGTGAGGGTGTCTGGGGTGAGGGTGGTGAGGGTGTCTGGGTGGGGGTGGGGGTGGTGACAGTGTCTGGCGGGATGAACAGGCGGGGCCATATGGTGGGGGTGAAAGCCCAGCTCAGGGTTTAGAGCCTTTCTGCACTGTGAGCTGGGGCGTGTCCCGCTGGAGGTGGCCTGTAGAAGGTGGGGCTGTGGGGTGCGCGTCCTCTGAGGACAGCCATGAGGCGTCTGTCTAGGTCAGGTGGTGGGCTCTCTCTGGGCCTAAAGTGGGTTGTGACATTTTCTCAGGGCCTTAGAAATTGGGTCCTTTCTTTCCTCTTTTTTTCTGAGATGGAGCCTGGCTCTGTCACCCAGGCTGAGTGCAGTGGCTCAATCTTGATCTTGGTTCACTGCAACCTCCGCCTCCCGGGTTCAAGCGATTCTCCTGTCTTGGCCTCCTGAGTAGCTGGGACTACAGGTGTGCACCACCACGTCCAGGTAATGTTTGTACCTTTAGTAGAGACAGGGTTTCTCCATATTGGCTGGACTGGTCTCGAACTCCTGACCTCAAGCGATGCTCCTACCTCAGCCCACAAAGTGTTGGGATCACAGGTGTGAGCCACAGCGCCCGGCTAAAGCTAGGTCCTTTCCGATGGGGCCCTCACACCTGTGGCATGGGCACCCTGGGCACTTGGACTCAGGCTGACCCCAGCCTGTCCCTGCCCCAGGAGGCAGCGCCTGCTCCTGCTGGGCGGGGGAGGCGTCCCACGGTCCAGCCCTGGGGCCCAGGGCCCCTCGCTGTGGCTCCCTCTGCCCCTGTCCTGCTGGCCCTAGGCCCTCCTCGCCTCCGAATCCCGGCCTCCGGCTCTGCTCACGGGTCTGAGGGAGACAGTGGCTGCCCGTCACCTGCCAGTTTTTTCTGTTCCCTGCCTACGTTTTCCTAATTAAGAATAACAAAGTCGTATGCACAGGTTATATCTCGGATTTCTTCCTTTCAGTAGAATTCTAAAACTGCATGACGGGGTCAAAGACTAGGAGCAGTCTGAAGCTCTGAGCCCACATTAGCTCACCGCCTTCCGGAAGGACCCAGGGCCACCGCAGTTGGCCTGGACGCTCACTCCCAGCCCCCACACGAAGCTGGCTTTCATGATTGAAAACAAAATAAAACAAGAAGGCTTATGCGTAAGCTGGGCTCAGGAATGTCTCCTTGCTCTGTGATTTCTTTTTTATTGATGGTGAGGCTGGGCATTCTGATCCGTACAGGTCACTTTTTCCTCTTTGTTTATGAATCAAAAGTCCCCACTGCCAGCCGCGCTCAGTGGCTCACGCCTGTAATCCCAGCACTTTGGGAGGCTAAGGCGGTTGGATCACCCAAGGTCAGGAGTTCCAGACCAGGCTGGACAACATGATGAAAGCCCGTCTCTACTAAAAATACAAAATTAGCCGAGTGTGGTGGTGCATGTCTGTAATCCCAGCTACCTGGGAAGCTGAGGCAGGAGAATCGCTTGAACCTGGGAGGCAGAGGTTGCACTGAGCTGAGATTGTACCACTGCACTCCAGCCTGGCAACAAGAACAAAACTCTGTCTCAAAAAAAGAAAAAAGTCCCCACTTCCTATTATTTTTGCACATAACGATGATGACAGCCGCTTCTTGCTCATTTTTAAAAATTCTTTCCCGAGTTTGTCTGTTTTTGTATTTTTCCCATTTGTTTTCTCCTTGTTTAATTTTAAAAGCTGCCTTTGAGAAACCGAACAATTACTTCTTTATTAAATGTGACAAGCCCTTGTCATATATTTTCGTTTTCCATATACTTTTAAATTCCCTGATGCAGAAGGTTGACATTTGTATCATCAAATCCATCAAGACTTTCGTTTCCTGCCTAGAATGTCCTTGCCCCAAATAGAAGCAAGTTCGCATGAAGCTGAGTAATTTTCCACGGAATTCTTTGATCCCTCTGGGTCCTGATAACATTCAGTTGCCACAGGCTCAGGGGAGGAGGGGGGCGGGGAGGGAAGTCAGGGTGGGGGACCCTGGCCTCCATGTCATACTTCCTCCCTGAGTCCCAGCCTGTCACAGCACAAGGTCCAGCGGGGACCAGGCCTGGACAGGGCACAGTGGGGTGAGTCTGTCTCCAGGACGGTGCTGCCATCTGTGCCTGGCCAGGGCCTGTGCTCCCTCCTCCGTGGGCCCGGCAACAGGGCTTGGGGTGGAGGAGCACAGGGGCCCCTCTCGCTCACTCTCACAGTCTCCTGCCTGAGCTCACCTCTGGCCAAAGGTGTTTGCTGAAATGAAGGCGGGAGGCTGTGGCCTTGGGATGAAAGGCCTCGGAAGCCTCGGGGTGGGTGAAGGGAGACACTGAAAACCACATGTGCTCAGGAGAGGCCTCGCCTGCCCCAGGGCTGTCACGGTGGCAAACTGGGTGCTTCTGGTGACCTGTCCTTGTTTTCCTGGGTGGAAGTTGACCGCCAGCCCCACCTGTGAGGGCAAGGACCGCACTGTCCCTGGGAAGCAGTGCTCATTGGTCCTTGGGCGCGGCACCTCCTGGCCTGCCACAACTGCTCGAGCCAAAAGCATCGGGTCCCCTGTGGGACACAGCTCTCTTCTGCTGCCCTGGATGCAGAGCTCCAGGCTCTCCAGCCTTTGGACTCCAGGACTTTTACACCAGTGGCCCCTGGCTCCTCGGGTTTTCAACCTGCAGTGAGAGTTACACCTGTCCCCTCCCATCTCGCAATGGGTGCTGAGGCTTTCGGCTTGAGCCACGCTACTGGCTTCCCACAGTCCCCAGCTTGCAGACAGCCTGTCCTGGGAATTCTCAGCCTCCGTAACCCTCTCATACGTCATGTGGCCAGTTCCCGTGTTAACCCTCTCATACATCAATCATGTGGCCAGTTCCCGTGTTAACCCTCTCATACATCATGTGGCCAGTTCCCGTGTTAACCCTC